TATGTAATAGGACTCCATGCTGTCCAATTAAGAAATAATTGGACGAGGAAAATTCCAACTGACAAAATTGGATGAGGCCGTAGGCTGAGTCCAATTTGGCAGTCAGAGGAATTTTTCGAGTCTAATTATTTCTTGATTGGGGAGCATGAAATCCCATTACCTATTAATTATATAGCTGTGTAATTAATCCCATATCAACAAGACCTGTCCAATTAAGAAAATAATTGGACAGTTACCTATATGGGATTAATGAGAAGCTGTATAATTATATAATAAACTAGTTGGGACTGGGTGTAGATGATCCAAAGATGTAGAGTACTTACTTGTGTAAGCTGAGTAGTCTTGCCTGAGCCTGTCTCACCAACGATAATCACTATTTGATTATCCCTCACAATGTTTAGCAACTGCAAGAAGACAATAAAATGATGACAGTTAAGTGGAAACTGCAGCTAGAAACATTTTTAGATAAAAAATTTCATTTCGCCAGGGCACAGGTTCAAATCCCGTTCAAGACTCAGAATTTTTCACTAGGTAATTTGCACAAATCCAACTACGTAAGGGTGTTACTAACCTCTTGTCTGACGGCAAATATTGGTAGGAACTGCCGCTGCTGAGCAAAGCTTTTCTTTGTAGCAAAATCACTTGTCGCTTCACTTGAATTGCTTGACATGTGTTCTGCAAATTTCTGATTCTTTTTATAGTCATCGTCCTTGACATCCATTTCCTGTAGTTTTATTATTAATATTAATAATAATGATGATGATGATGATGATGATGATGATGATGATGATGATGATGATAATAATAATATATGAGTTAGTTTCTAAAAGGCAAGATGAGTATATTTCTTTAATTTCTTTCACAGTTCTATATGTTCTATACTCGAGGGGTTGGAAAGCTGTTCTAAATGTAGATGGTCTGGGAAAATGGTAATTCCTAAGGAAGATATGCAAGTTGTATGCTTCAGGTAATGGGCTCCTGCCATCTTACATTCATTACACCCATTTTCAAAATTACGCGACCAAGGTGGCTTCAGAAGTCTGGAGTTTTGTCTTCTGTCAATCAAAGTTAGCAAGGGCTGAGATAAAAAGAAATTCCCGCTCAATCAATCACAGACAATGAAATGAAAAAAGCACTTTAATGGCTTTCGAGTCGAGGGGAGTTCTTTGAGCTCAGCCCTTCTGGTAACTTTGATTGATGGAAGCCAAACAAATCCAGACGAATGCCGTAGAAACGTCTTAGGTTGCATTATTTTGAAAATGGGTGAAAAGACATCTGTTTTCCCACTATTTTCTCTTAAAAAGAGATAACTAGCTAAAGACTAGTCTAATGAAACAGTAATGATAAAAGGGTAAATTTTACACCGTGAAAAGATGAAAAAACTTACTGACATTTCAGACGCTAGTCCTTCGTCGGAGTAAAATTTTCTTTTAATTATGACATTGCATCGCATCGCATTCATGAAATAGCATCTTACCTCTCCTTTGTCTTCTTTGATTCCCATGATGTTACCAAGCTTCGTACCAGCAAGCTCCCAGTGCTTGTGTTGAGATTTCTTTTTCTCCTTCTCCTCTCGGAATCGACGGACTACTAGACAACCCTTCCTGGATATGATGGCCATGTCAGATGTGGCGTCCTATTAAATGATAAGCAAGTAAAAAGCAGAAGTTCATTCTATGTTGTCTTCCTCCTGAATTTTATCGATACTCTAGGCTGATCTAAGTCAGGGCATGGCTAACTCACAGATAGAACCCTGAAACAACCTCTGGGCTGATCTAAGTCAGGGCATGGCTAACTCACAGATA